TTTCTGCTTTTTCTACTTTTTTTTCATTTTCGAATCTCCTGCTGCTGCATAAATGTATGAACTATAGTAGGACCTGTTTCTCCAAAGATTGTCCACAGCAGGTGTGTGAACAGCATCTGAGGAGTTGATGTTTCAGAAGTAGAATTTGAACCATAGGCAGGTATTTTAAGGCTAAACTTGGAGAACAACAACAGTAACTAGGCGCGTGCGTCTTACGAGTGGATCAAAAAGGAAATGACATGTCCCCTTTGAGAGGTTTTGTATTATGCTGACCGCTCCAGAAGCCGTGATGCGATCAACTGACCGTGGAGAGCAAAGTGAGGCCCTACAGGGGCTGTTTTTGCTGCTGTCTGCTGACTCAGGGCTCCGTTCAGACTTTGCCCAAAACCTGTGCCTTTGGTCTTTTAAACATGTCTATTTTCAGTAACTAATGACTATGCAAAAAAATAAAAAATCTGGGAAGTAGAATTCTTTGTTAAGCTGTGGAGTTCATAAAAAAGGATGCTGGAGTGATGATTCAACAGTTAATAGGTGTTTATGGGCAACCTGCAGTGCTGAAAAGCACGTTAATGAATACTTGATCTGGTTGAAGCTTTGTTTTCCAGTTTGTTAATGAAGTCCACTGCTTTCTCTCTTTTTAACTACAAGAAAAAATTGTGTGTTATTCATTCAATAAAAAAGAAAACTTTTTTTTTTAAAGAGACAAAATTCAAATGGTCCACGTCTGATAGCCATGCTTCTTAGAAATAAAGATTTACATTATAGATCTCCCCTACAGCTTCGGAGAGGAACATTTAAGACCAAAGTAAAAGGAAAAATAACATATTTCCTTTGATAAACTAAACATTAACAGCCAGAGACATCTCAACATTACCATTATCTTGTTATATTGTAAACAAGCCGTGCTTGGAAGGAGGATACCCTCTGAATAACTTCAAACAAGCTTTGTGGATTTATGGTTTGGAATGGATGATCAGAGGATTCAGGATAATTGTCTGTGAAGGAGCAGCAAAGACGTGAAGGTAAGAAAGCTGAACGCCTCTGAGAGGATGCACTGAGCGTCTCGCTGTGTTTCAATCCGACATGGAGATGGCTGGAGATAACATGAAAGCCTCTACACTCAATGTTCGCAAAGCTGTTTGCATGTTTGCTTTCCCGAGATTTGATCTGGCTGTAGAGGATGTTAGTTTCCTGGATGAGTCTCTAATCAGGAAAGGGAGCTGGCGTGGTTTTTCGAAACGAGATGGGACATGACATCTCCGTGGTAATCTGTTGTTTTCCTTTGTTGCTCACGTGCGCATACACAAGTTTAATGAACCTTTGACCCGCGTGTGTCGTTGTATTCAATATGTCGACACGCCGAGGAATCAAGAGAAAAGAAGTTTCAAAGGTCAGACGGGGGGGAGCCGCTCACATGTCGCCTCAGCGTTTAGCTCGGGTTTCTGTTGAACTGGGTGTTTTTTGGGTGTTGCCTGTCGGGCTGTGTGATCCCCGCTGACCCGTGGGACCAGGGAGCTGCCGGCCTCCAGGAGCAGCAGGATGCTTTCAGCCTGAGCCCGGCAGGTAAAGAGGGAACCTGGATCTGCACGCCAGCGTCAGCAGACGCGTGTGGATGGCTGTTCATGTTGTTGTGAGTTGCTTTTTTGAAGTCGTATGCTCTGAGCAGAGAGATGCTGTGTGGTGCCCAAAGTTCAAAGGGTCACTAATGAACAGTTGTAAAACAGGCTTTTGGCACAAAATTATGAATCCGAAGCAGTTATATCAAATGTGAACTGCCGGGATTACAATCATCTTTTTCTTTTATTCAATGCACCTGACTAGTTGTGCAGAGACACTTCACATATCTCACCTGCTATTTGGGATGTTTAAAGAAAGACCTGTTATCTAGCACGTATGAATAAATAGGGAAGAAATACAGCAGAACCTCGACTTACGATTGCTAAACATACGGATTTTCAAACATCCAAAGTGAAATTTTGTCAAATATTCAACTCGACACCCAAAGTAAATTTCCAACATACGACAAAGTCATAGAAAAAAAAATGTAAAATGTACAAATGAAATACAAATGAATAAGTAAAATTTGTTTAAAGTTCAAGTGAAAGTTAGAGTAAGTTAGGGTTCGTCCTGTATCTTAGTCTCCGTTCGCAAATAAGTGCCAATGAAAAAACCTTTTTGTTGATTATTTCTTCATAATTAATTTCTTCTTACATGTTTCTCATATAATGCATTTGTTTTCATTGCTATGTGTTATTATCTATTTATTGAGGACTTATCGTAGGTTATCGGGCTGTGGAACAAATTATATGAATTACAGTGTATTCTTATGGGAATATTTGAACCAACATACGAATATTTTAACATACGAAGTAGGTCCTGAAATAAATTAAATTCGTATTTCAGGTTCTACAGTATCAGTCTAAGACACCAGATCTCAGTCGTCCTTATAGCTTCAGACAAAGCTGTAAAACTTAGAACACGACTGAAGAAAATGTTCTGAAAACAATGTTCACAGTGCTACTGTTCAACAGGGACGATAACAGATTGTTTAATCATTAGTCAATATTGTTTGGTGGAATGGATGTAAGAAAAAGACTGGGTGTAATACAGTGTCAGCCAGGAGAACGTCTGAACATGCAGAGAGGTTGCAAATCAGTTTGCTGACTCTGCTAAAGTGTTCTTATGTAACATACCTATTTTTGTGCTTTATATCTACACAGATAGACAAAAAACAAAACAAGGGATTTAAAGATCGTTCTAGGTTTTTAAGGATCTCAATGATAGTCGTGTCCTGACAAAGATTCTGCTCTCAAAGGGTGTCATTTAATCCCTTCTCCGTCCTTCCCATGATGTCCTGTTTTTACATTAAACATCCAAATATTTTGAACCAAACATTACACCTCTGGGTGTTTCGGTATCACTTTACCACAATACCAACAAAACACTATAACGATGACTATTGCTTACATGTGAGTCCCTCCACATTGTTTTGAAGCTCGTTTTAATTGCTCTGGTGACTTTGGAAGATAACATGTCGTCAGACTTATCAGGACAGGTTCACCTTCCGCTACAACCACCTGGAAAATCATTAACCAATAAGCTGATCAAACTTTTGGATCAGCCTGTTTTCTCTCCTCGATGCTGACAATAATAAAAACATTTGTATTTCCAGTAAATAGTTCTCTTGGACTCTTGGTTTGAATTGGCCTCATTCTTTGTTTTATTAACCATACAAACGATTCACTTGATTAGTTGTGGGGTTGATAAGTTTGTTTGGTTGTCATTTTCAGATTCTGTGAGTTTTGTAGATCTATTTAACGAGTGGAACGCACATGTTTGTGTTTCCTAATTATATGTTGTGACACAAGGATGTATCATTCAATCTTGTCAGAGGATTAGCTGATTGATCTGTAGCTGAGTGTGGGCTTTAGTCGTGATGTAATGAGGCCAGTGTGACTTCCCTGTCGAAGGCCTTTGTTGCATTTCATTTCTGGACGGCGGTTCATAACTTGACCTGTTGCCATGGGAGCACCTCAGTGGCCGTCTGAGACCAGAGGCTTTTAGCTGGTCGCCATATTCGGCCCACACAGCTCAAAGACCGGAGGGGTTATTTAATTTCATGAGCGTTGGCTTAGCCGGAAATACAGATCTTGGGCTTACAAATTATCCCAGTTGTGGCTTTATTTGTTAATTACATTAATTTAAGACTTATTGTAAATAAGTCTTAAATTATAGTTTGATTCATGTTCCCCTTGGAGTCTGCGTGGAGGAGTGAACCAAAGAGCAGCCCCTGAAACTCTCAGAGCATTATAAGTAGCACATAAGAAGCTTAAAGCCTGGGTGAAAGCAGCTTTGAAGAAGGGCCTGATTGAGACGGGAGTGAGCTGTGGTCAGCCTGCTCACAGCCCCCGACGCTTAACTGGGGTAGTTTAACCTTTGAACAAAGTAAGAAATTGTTGAATTTGGAGCTGAAGCAGCAGTTGGTGTTAGAGCACATGAGGTCAATAGAACTTGAAAGACACAGAGCAGAAGACCAAACAGGCAGAGAAAAGCGGCCTGAGTGGAGTCTAACAGAGGGTGTGGATTTTAAGTTTGACCTTGGTGATTATCTGTGAGCTTCCCTCCTGAGTTAAGTGAGTCACAGCTGCATTCTTTTAATTGCTTGAACAGAAACATGAGATAGGACCGTGGTGTTTTATTCAGTCTGTCCTGACTAACAGGGCCTTCCAGCTTTGGGGTGACCATAAGCAGGCATCAACGTTATGTTTTGGTCATATGAAAGCCAACTGACAGAGCAGAGAGTGGAGACAGTGATGAAACCGGATCACTTTTTCACCATCCTAGCAGGCTGTTTTTGCTTGAGAGCAGCACAGCCACTGCTTAAACACAGCAGCCTATAAATGTCACAAATGGGAAAGAAATAAGAGGAAACATAGGAGGAGGTTTGGCAGGCACAGGGCCACAGTTTTTCTAATTGTTTAGAAGTAAAGACTGTAATGGAATACTTTTCATTTTGAATTATTTGATGAATGAACGTGAATATGTCTTGAAACGTAGTGTTCACCATGACATTAAAATGAACTCTTCACCTTATGTAATACTTTGTAAAGGCCAGGCCACTAAAAACAGCCTTGAAATCCATCCCAGTTCCACCCCTCGGCCCTACTTGGCTCCTTCTCCTGTTTTGCAGACTGACACATAGAATGAGGTGTCCTGTTTCTTTTGGCAATCAAGTTGTAGTTGTCAGTTGTCCAACCGATGGCCACCCACACTGCACTGGGAGAGCCAGATGACCATCCCCCTTTTGATCTTTAAAGAAACAGACGCTCCACCCCAGAGGCGGCTGGAAAAATGGAAGGTTTGGGCCAAATGATGGGGCAACAGGGGGACTGGACCTTATTGCAACAGAACTGCTTACTGTAGTATGAAATGCAGAAACAATAACATACTTATGTCTCTCCTCAGATATCTGAGTGTTGCTGAGGCCCCTGCTAGTCAGCATGAAGGCTCCTAACAGAAGAGTGTCCCTGGAACCAGCAGCAGCCCCAGACGGGGGCTATGGCTGGTTCATCCTGCTCTCTTGCTTTCTTGTCTTTGGTCTGACCTTTGGAGTGATTAAGGCCTTTGGTGTATTTTATGTAGAAATACACCAATACTTTGAAACCACAGCAGCAGGGACATCCTGGATCACCTCCATTGCAGTGGCCACCATTCATATCGTGGGTATGTTGTGTTATGTTTCTGTTTCTGTTTCTGCATTTAGACGCTTTTATCCAAAGCAACCTACAAAGTAGACACAATGTTACAGTTATCATTATGCATTTCTCTAGAGGAAAATCCCCAGTCAAAGTCAGTGGTGACAGGAGGAGATAGAGGGAAGCACAGAAAGAGTAGTGGAGGGGCACAGAGGTATGGGGAAGAGTTAGGATAGGAGATGCTCGGTGAAGAGGTGGGTCTGTAGGAGTTCATGTAGACAGACATGCTGTTCTTGTAGCACCTGGTAGGTCATTCCACCACCTTAAAGTTGGTTTTTGGGACTTTAAAGCTGTTTTGAAGGGGTTTTATGCTATGGTAGGTCATTCCACCATCTTGGAACAACGCATGAAAACCACGCAGGGGTAACCAGGGGTTACCAGGAGTAACTAGGGGCAGCCAGGGGTAACCAGGGGTAACTAGGGGTACCCAGGGGTAACCAGTGAATCTACCAGTTATCTACATGACGTGTCATGACTCTGTAACGAACAGCTTACATCCGGCACAACACTTCCTTGTTTTTTGCCCTTAACTGGTACTTGCTGAGCAAAATATTGACTCCTGTATGTTTTTTCTGTCTGAAGCTCCCATAGCATCTGCACTAAGTGCTTGCTTCAGCCATCGTTCGGTGGTGATAATAGGTGGACTGATATGCAGCATAGGAGTCGTGTTAGGAGCTTTTGCACGTAACCTAATCGAGCTCTACTTAACAGTGGGGTTTCTAAATGGTAGGTAAAGTCATTCGGACATGATCTCAGATAAAGGAGGCTCAAAACATGCACACTAAATGTGTTCTTGTGTCCTTTCCTGCAGGTTTTGGCTATGCACTGACCTGGACCCCCACAGTGACCATGGTGGGCATGTACTTTGAGAAGAGGCGTCCAGTGGCAAACGCATTGGCCAGTTCCGGAGAATGCATTTTCACTTTTGTCCTCACGCCTCTTTTCCAGCTGTTGATTGACAGCTTCTCCTGGAGGGGTGCTTTGCTTATCTTGGGGGGGCTGCAGCTTAACCTGTGTGTGTGCGGTATGTTGCTGAGGCCTTTGAAAGCCACCAGAACTGTTACATCTGTCAGTGAGGTCACAGCAGAGGAGGAAGGCTTGTCCCAGAAACTGCTCCAAAAAGAGGACTCGAACGAGATCAAACCAATGTCTGAAAAAGAGAAAGAACTGAACACCTCTGAAGGGTCTGATCAGGAAGCAGCTCAATCGTTTCTTGAAGACCCTAATGAGAAACCTAATAGAAGGACTTTAAAGAACACAAAGCTAAGGACCAAAATCCGTCAGTATGTAGATTATACCCTCATCAAAAATGCCCCATTCATGGTCTACTCTATGTTCGGGGTGTTTGCTGCCCTTGGTTTCTTCGCCCCATCTCTGTTCCTGGTTCCATACGCTCGCAGTAAGGGGATCGAGGAGTACCAGGCAGCTGCGCTCATGTCAATCTCCGCAGTGCTGGACCTCTTCGGAAGAGTGTTCTTCGGCTGGGTGGCAAACCTGAGACTTGTGGAGACGGTACGTTCTGAGTAGCAATACACCAGCGCCATGAGCCGAAAATGCTCTCATGAATATTTGACAGAAACGTAGCATTAGTCATTGTAGGGTCACCGATAGTTCAGGTAAATCAGAAATTTAATTAAACCAGGCGTTTTATCTCACAAGGACTTTTTTTAGTGGAGAGCAGCAACTCCCTGGAGAGTGGCTGTTGAGTTTTGTGGTAAACTCAAATTAATGCTGAGCCTGTGTGATATTCAAGAAATAGTCCACTGTATTATAGGCAGATATTTTATTCATAGGCTACCTTTTCCCCGATGGGTTCACTTTTTGTTAACCAGAAGCAGGTTTTAGATGCCTGTTGAATTTTGAGTTATAGCAAGTTTATTAATGTAGCAGGCAGCAAAAATTGGATGATCTAAATGTCAAAGCATGGGCTGTTTTTAAGTGTATGCGTGCTCCGACTTCCTGTCACACAGAGAATAGACTCTAAAGCTCTGCTTGTGTACAAGTCTCTTCATGGTCAAGCACCAAAATACCTTTCTTACATGTTAGAGCCATATGAACCAGCTGGACTCTGAGAACCAGGTTCTAGTCTCCTGCTGGGGCCAGAACCAAAGAAGGTGTGGCTTCATTTCAGTTCCATGCTCCTAAAATCTGGATCAGTCCTCCTGAAGATGTGAGACAGGCCCCAACTCTGACAATGTTTAAATCCAGGCTGAAAACGGTTCTGTTTAACTGTGCATATGGAAACTGAATGTATTTTATCTGCACCCCTCACTTTCGATCCATGTGCAGGACCTTTCCGTGTGGAGTTTGCATGTTCTTCCTGTGTGTGTGGGTTAATTGGACACTCCAAACTCCCCTTAGGAGTGAGTGTGACCGTGCATGTTTGTTGGTCCTTGTGTGTCTCTGTGTGACCCTGTGATTGACTGGGGACCGTCCAGGGTGACCCCGCCTCTAACCCATTGATTACTGGGATAGGCTCCAGTTCCCTTGAGACCCCATTAGGGAATAAGCGGTTACAAAGATGGATGGATGGATTTTCTTGCTGTGTTTTTCTGCTTTTAAACTCTTTGTGAAGCACTTTGAACTGTCTTGTACAGAAAATGTGCTGTAAAATGAACTCGCCTTGCCTTGTGGGAAACAGCTGATGCAGTACCCGTTTCCTGTCTCTGCTCCTGCAGGTGCAGCAGCTCACAGCCACCGTGATTCTGCTGGGGACCGTTCTCCTCCTGTGCCCGCTGGCCTCCTCCTTCTCCGAGCTGGTTGCCTTCAGCGCAGCCCATGGGCTGGTTTACGGCGCCACAGTTGCCATCCACATCACCGTGCTGCCGGAGGTGGTGGGCGTTGAAAAACTGGGGAGTGCACTGGGGTTTTTCATGCTCATACGCAGCAGCGGAGGTCTGCTCGGGCCCCCCATAGCTGGTGAGCTTTGATAATCACATTTATCCTAATGTGCATATCAATGAGACTTGGAATTCAGCTTAGTCCCCGGTGATACCGCACTCTGGTGTAAACTAGAAATAAACATAAAGCAGCACAGACTCTGACAGTTTACATTCACTACTTGCTAAAATCTTCTCTGGCACAGCTTTGGAAAAATCTCAAGGTTACTGTGTCTATCATCATTTTCCTGGTGGTGTTTTTCCGACACATTGCATTTCACACAATGGAAGTGCTTATGCATCATTCAGTGTTGTAACTGCAGCCCAGAGAGCCTCATTCAAGCAAAATGAGATCCCGATTCCTGCCTGATATACAGCACTACCTTTTAATTAATCATGGATTTTGTTAACAGTGCATTCCACAGGAGCCTATTTTTATTATTCAAAGAAATAATATTATGATATATTGGCACTATTTGTGATTTTCTTAATTTCATGGCTGTTTACTACCTACAAATGTTTTTCTTTTAAATTGAGTTCCCGCTGCTGACTCAGCACTATTTTACTGTTGACATTTTCAAATTGTGTCCCACTGAAGTTCAGCTCAGCTGTGGCAACATAATGGCAAAGCAGTAAAGAGAAGAAGTTAAACCATTTTACAAATGCCAAATAGGTTTCTTTCATTGTTTTTGTAGCAGCAGAAACAATCAGCAGACACAAATGGGTATGTCACAAGGCATAAAGTCATTTATGGGCCTATCTGCATCCCCTTTAATCTGTTAAAATGAATATTTTCTTATTTTTCTCTCCTATTTCTTTACAAATCACCAGACAGTGGCTCTCTACCATTGAAAACAAATCCAACACACAACATGTATTTTAAACTGATTAAAAGGCACACATTTACATCCAGATCTACATAGTACATCAGTAAGAAGTAAATACAGCCTGAAAAAGACAAAGCTTGAATTGGCTTTGAGGCCGATACCTCTGCCAGTAAGTGGATGCCTTTAAACACTTTCAGCTATAAAATCTACAAGGGAATCTGTCCAAACTGAGAGGAAAATTACATTAAATGCCAGAAAACGTTCCCTTTGGCACAGAGTCTATACTTTTTCAGCTGCCAGAGTGAAGGCTGTGGCAGCAATTTAGGTTCATTCCCTGTTGGTCACACTGAAATAAATCATTTATTAAATGTTACCACGACTCCTAAGCACCAAATGGACCAAATGTTCAGGACTGAGGCAACAATCATTACCAAAGTCTGACATGCAGTGCCACAGACTTGGATTAGTCGGAGGATCTTTGATGTGAAGGAGGACTTTGAGTATAGAGCACTTAAGAATAAAGTTTCTCATAGCTTTCTTTTGGCCTGAATTCCAATTTCCCGAAATGTTTCACTCAGAATGTGTCTGACATGAAAAAAATGTTCATTTTCTCAACAATACCGTTTCTGCTTTCAGGATTCTTCATTGATAAGATGGACAATTATGGGACGGGTTTCCTCATGTCCGGAGTGGCTCTTATCGTCTCGGCTTTGTTCTTGCTCATCCTCCATCAGATGAACCGAAGAGCCCGCGTTCCAGTCCCCAAGAGCCAGAGTATGCAGATGGACACAGTGGACCCAAGTCTCAGAGTTGAAGAAAAAGAGGCAGAGATGACATGAAAGATCTCTGTAGTGACAACATGCCAGTTTAAAATGGACAAAACATGGACAGAGGCGTTTAAATGAGGCATGATCTGCCGGATAAATATGGGATTTTCATACCTGTCTACAGATGTCCAAAGTCTTTGGAGCACCTCTTTCAATCACCTACATCACACAACGTATTCTGAAATCTCACAAACTTTTCTTCATCATCACTTTTGAAATACCAAAGTAGTGTGAGCAGATGTTTCTCTGTTGAGTGCCACAGATTTACACTGATAAGCACTGAATCTGTTCCTCCTCGTGTCCCAAAAAGCATCTGGCAGCTCACAGTTAAAACATCTTATGCTACCCTGGAAAGTCTTGAGTGTGTGTTAGAATCCATCTTTCAGCCTCTGGGGTGGGTGGGTTGGTCTTTCTGCCAACCGGTCCCGTCAGACGGATGTCCAGGGAGTTCGGTGGCCTGATTTTTGTGTCGTTTGCGTCTTTTAGGAGACTTCTATTCAACGCTGAAGTTGACTGCTCTGCACCAGCATTTCACAGACATTAAAAAAAACTGCTCTCACTAAACATGCTGCAATCATAGGATTTTAGATCCTGCTGATGTAATATGTGTCATAAATGTGACAATCAAAAAGTAAATATCGACATTTTACACAAAAAACTCAAGCATTTGTTTTACATCTGTTGAATTAAAAATACCGTAATGTCATTTTTTTTTCTCTGCTTTCGAGTGCTGAGTTGCCAGATTAAATTTGTGTCTTTGGCTCCACCCAGAGCAACACCAGCAGCACTACATTTTGCAGCCTTATTCCCAACAGGGCACGACTGCTTCACATCTATGGAACAGTGAACAGAGCAATTATTTTTAAAAGCCACATCGTTCAGCATGAGTGTAATTTATGTATATTTTTTGTACCATTTAGAGTGTAAAGAGCTAAAGAGAACCAGCCGGACAAAGTTCTTCCAGCCTTGAGCCCTCATTGATATACTGATGCCAAAAAGAAAACTAAGAAAACTATGGGTGAACAGCAGGAAAGATCAGACCAAATAAAAGCCAATTTGTGGCTGGTGAACGCCTCCAGAAAGAAATATGATTCCAGTGAGGATAACTGGAACTGACATTTCATATTTGTATCTTCATTACAAATTTCAATGCTTCAAACTTTAAATAAATAAATAAGCACATGTGAACCCTTTTGAATGTTAATCGGTGAGCTAAATTTCAAGCAGAATTCTTAAGAAGCAGTTTATGTTTGGATGTAATTTGTCATGTTATCAGCCCGTGTTAGACCCAAAGAACTTTTAAAAAACATGTTGTATTGCTCTTGAATATATGTTTTAACAGTTTATACCAACAATATAAGGTGACCTGAAGATAAGAGTTCAAACCGCAATCTAAAAATCAGAAAATAAATTCAATCACGCCGATTGAAGATTCACTCAGAGGGAAAATCGTTGCTACATTTTCTTCTGCCACAGCAGATTGTTTACAGTGTGGAAACAGCTTCCATAACCCCAAAGCAAAAAGAGCCCCCATACAGACATCTTAACCACAGAATAAATCAAATACACAGTAACCAGAATAAATAAACACACCACTCTCCATAAACCATCAATAATAAACGGTAAGGGGAGCTTAACAAACAGCCCACACTGGTGCACCCTGCAGACTAAAAGATATACACACTCAAACACCCCCACACGTTTCAATAAAGAACTTTTCTTACAATGTCCACAACAAAGGAAAAGGCTTTGATCTGAATGGCAGCATCAAAGCCATAATCCATGTTTCATAGAGGCTTCAGAACATTCACCCACAGACACACATTACCGGGTTACTGCCAGGAGACCACACATGTGCTGCAGGTCAGGGCCCGTTTAAAGGGAGGAAAACCACTCTCCGAACCCAGGAAGCCTGGAATCTAAAGTCATTGTTTGGACTTGTTTGCATTTCATGTCAAATAAATCATCCTTTGCCACAACAAGCTTTCACAACAAGCCAGCGCACAACAATTGTTCAACGCACAACCTCATCTGAGCGCTGCTTACTCTGATTATGACCTTATTTGGGTTGAAGAAAGCAGAAAATATGGTTTACATGACAGTGCCTGTTACAGAGTGAGGCCAATATTTTAAAGTCACTGAAGATAAAAACCAGTCTGTAAATTATTTTGGTTTAACAGATATTATAGTGGTCTGGTTTGCCAGTAATTGTTTAAAATCATTCCATTTTCTTTGTGATATTTTGATTTTAAAAAGAAATTTAAATAACAATATTATTGGTCATTCCTGTTTGTTAGGGGAAATGCAGTGTTTTGTGGTTTTATTTTAATCTGACCTTGTTATTGTCATTCTGTCCCTGGCAGTTTGGTTTTAACTGACGGTATGATTAGGTGGTCTCCATAAAACTAGCAGTGTTTTAAAACACAAACACCTCACTGGAGGTGAAAGTGAGATCATGCGTATTTTTCATCTGGCCCCCGACTGCGTTAATGTTTGTGTACAAAAGAAAGAAAAGACAAGAAAAAAACAGAAATAGCAAAAGTATGAAGCCCTCAAACATTGCAACTTAAACTCAGAAAACACAGGAAGAGCTTTGAAGTCTTGGAGGATACTGAATCCCCCCCCCCCCCAGAAAATCTCAGTGTGACCCAGTGCTGGAACCTCTGAGTTGAAAGTCGCTACAGAAGCAGCTGAAACAGTTTTCTCCGTTTCTTTCTACTTCGACCTTGCGGTCACGTCAAGGAATGCTGCACAACCACCTGATTTCAAAGAGCTCAGCAGCATGAAAGAGGTGAGAACAGAGGCAGCCGGACCAAAAGAGAGAGAGAGAGAGAGGGGAAGGACATCTGAGTCTCACCAGAAAATCAAACCCCAAAAAACAACTTAAAAAAAAAACCCAAAACAGCTTTAAAAGCCCCCAAAACAGCAGAAGCAGAGGTTCTACTGTATTCTACTTTGTAGGTTGCTTTGGATAAAAGCGTTGGCTAAATGCATAAAGATAAAGGAGGAATAATGCAACAGCAGGAGAGCTGCTGTGAAAAGAAGGGATGAAAAAAGCACAGCGCCGGGAAAAGTGAGAGAAGAAAAGAGCAAAAAACCAGGGGAAATCTACGGAACTTCATTATTAAAGTCTTTTTTCTTTTTAGAAAAAAACACTTTAAGCATTTAGGGGATTATGAAAATGGATGTGAGAATTTAACAGTGATTAGTGGGAAATGTGAGCCGTGCAAAGATGTGGTGACAATGGGAAATAATGAATCCAGCTACGAGGGGTTTAGGTTAATGAGGGTAGTTAACAACCAGACAAACATGGCCGCTCCACAACTGAACCCGAAAGCCATTCCTCCCTCAATCACATGGAGTTCAGCGAGCGAGCGGCCACTGCTGATCTGACCTGTCACAGAAAGATTAACTCTGAGAAACATTTGTGTTTATGGGGCGTTCTGGGTTATTTCCACTGTATAATTAAATAAGTGGAGTGAAACATTGCCAAGAGTCACAAGAATGTGCAGACATGAATCTTGTGTTTGAGTTTTTATTGAGTCAACTCCCACCCAAGTTCAACATGCCATTTCCATTAGCTACATTTTGGCAACACGTCTCGTGGTTCCCTCTGTGAATTATTGTTTTAAAAGTTACACACAAAAGTTTGTGTTCGCTCTTTGCAAATGAATCTTTGTCTCCTGTCATTTGATGAATCTTCATCTCCTTTTATCTGTGTAATCTTGTTTCCAGACTTTCCAGATTTTCCTCCAGAGATCTGATTGTCAGATTGATGAGAACTGGAACATTGTGTCTACTTTGTAAGTCGCTTTGGATAAAAGCGTCTAAATGCACAAACAGAAACTTAAATATAACTCATCAAGGCCACTGTGCTGCCAAATGTTACACATTCCTTAAATGGCATTTAATCACAGGCACTCTGAGACAGCCAAACTGTATCCGTGCACCTCATGACACCACATTTTTTGGCCGGTATTTGTAAAACAAAGCTAGCGCCGGCTATTTGCCATCATGCCAGAGACTTATTGTCCATCTGCTTTGGGTTTAAATTCTATCAGATGCACATTGAAACCAAATGTAATACAGTTCAGGGGACCAAGGAAGATTTTATTTATTTATTTATTTTTCTAGCTGATTCACAAATGCCAAAAGGAAAAACTCATTTTGAGTTAAAACTTCTACCCACAGTACAAATGGAGCAAGACATGTGCTGCCCTGAGGGCACAAAAGAAAGCTGCATCAGGAAAGCAAGTAAAACTTACAGCTCAGATATCAGTTTTTCCATAGATTTGAACAGATTTGACCCCTTACATCTTAGGTTCACTTTATACCAGAACTCATTCGCCTGATTTTAAATAAATGGCTTAAATGGTGCCTCTTTATATTGACAATAAAGACACAACTAAACAATTATCCATTTTTTTGTTTGGCTACAAATTAGCAACACTAGCAGTGGCTAGCTGTAAAATAGTGAGGCCTGCCACAAGAGTCCCTATTAGAAAAGAAAAGAAAAGAAAAGAAAAGAAGAGAAAGGAAAATAATACTTTATTGATCCCACAGTGGGGAAATTGACACGTTACAGCAGAAAAAGGACAAGCTCAGTGGATGCATCAATAAATAAATAAATAAATAAATGTTATTTACAATACAGCCAATAAATAAAGATAAATTACAAGTGAGAGTTATCAAAAAATAAGAATCTTATTATTGAAATATAAAAATGAATTGAACACCAAATTACCAATTGATTAATTTACCAATTTACTAACATACCTGAGGCTAACATAAGCCTCGTGCAGGTGTTATGTATACTTTTTTTTATTGATTTTTATGTTGTTTTTCGTCCAACATGCTCAATCCATCTGGCAGAAAACAAATAGCAGAGTGCAGCAGCACTCAGCGGGTTCTGAGCAGGAAACGTAGACATAACATTGATTCTGCTGCCGACGGAGATCTGAACAGAGATGTCTGGTATGCCTGAATACCGGCGTCTGTTTTGTTGGAGACTGAGATTGAGAAGATGGAATGATGCAAATAGACAAAGGATTTATAGCAATAAATGGACTACTTGGAGCAGTTAAGAGTCCGACCTGTGTGTCACCTGTCTGATTTTCCCATCTATTTTTTATTATTTTGTACTTTGTCCATAGTTTTGTTCTTCATTGTATGAGAGATTGTTATTTTGTACTTTTCATAGCCTTTGCTTCCACTCTGATAGGGTGGGAATTTTGTTAATAAAGACCTCGTATCTGCCAAGCTCTCCGTCTGAGACCTGCCTTGAGCCCCGTCCTCTAATAGCTGCCCATAATGCACCTGTCTTTCATTGCTCTGAATTTGAATAGTGGGGCATTCACAAAAGCCACTTAATTTGCTGGCTGCTCACATATAAACTAATCTAACCAAGATAATAACTTGCTCATAGTGACTGAGCTGCAATGTGTGTCTGATTACACTTTGTTCACTGAGGCTGAAAAATATATTTTGGGTTACCATCTAAGTTACCTAAGAACCTTTATAATATTCCATTGTGTCTTGATAAGCTATTTTATGCACTTGCAGCGGGCGGCAGGGTTGTGTGGTGGTTAGCACCATCGCCTCACACCCAGAGGGTTCTGGGTTTGAGTCCTGGATGGATGGATGGATGGTTGTGCAGCCTTTATGGATCACTGTAACACATTAGGACAACATACAAATGATGTAAACTCATTGTTTCTTGGAAATATTTTGGGACCATTGACAGAAATCATAACTTATTGTCCTGAGAGCTAACACAGATGTACAAGCTGGTCTCCATTTTAGCCCCATGTTTTCCCCTGACTGTACACTGAACTGAGGGCTCTGCCCAGATCTGTGTCTGGACAGTCACCAACTACTACGCCATGACTGGGATAAATCAGAGAGAAGGAGCATTTGAAGCCCCCTGAGAGAAGCACACCCTATCCTACAGGCACAGCCCCAGTCCGTCTTTAGCTTCAAAGAGCAGCAGTTGGATAAAAGAGGCTTTTGCCTTTTAAGTGGACTTTGTCTTTGAACTGATTGATTATCCATCTGTGGAAATTATCGCTGTAGTGTTTACATTTGATACTTGGCACACACAAGGGTTCCCAGTTTGCATCACAACCAAACAAGTGTCATCTAAGAGCTAAAAAGATTCTCCATTTATATTCCAGAAAGATTGTGGTATGCGAATGCATGTCTGGGACGTCATGATACTGAGTAGATTGCACTCAAACCAACCATTTTGCTTTTAGCTGTTTTAAAGTGCAACTAAATGTATGTATTGTTCTGTTTGTCCAAACCAAAGCAGACGTTTTAATCAACTTAAACGTGTTAGTCTGATTTAAACAATATGAACTCAATTTCCCAAAATGTCTTGATGACACGATTGGGTTCAAATGGCTCCCTCATATTATCTAAACAGGCCCGAATAAGCCTAAATAAGAGTTATAACGAATGACAGAAATCACCAAAGACTAAATAAATAAAGAACTGGTGAATGAAATTAAAGAGGGCCCCTCAGCGTGATTTCCAGTTCATTTTAAGGGCTTTTGCAAACAAGCATCCAGTCTCATCCGCTGCTTTCAGCACAGAAATCTGCTTCTGTTTGCTTCTGTCTGAAACTGCCATCTGCTGCTGTGATAATTACAGATAACTCAGGGTGGTAAATCTGTCACAGCTTTCGCTCTGATTTCCATTCTCAGAGAGCTGGGCCGGAAAATCAGCAGCTTCTGAGTGAGGCAGAGTTCAGCCAAAACCTTAAAGCTACGCGGTGTTGGAGTTCCTCCATCTAACGGTGAAATTGTATCCTGCATTCTAACAAATCTGCTCTCTAGCACCTCCGTTTTCAAATGGGTATTGCAGCTACAGTAGCCGTCAGGCATCAAGAAGTAATCAAAAAAATACAAATAAATTTAAAAAAGAAAGAAAGAAAAAATAATAATAACAGAAAATAAAAATAAATATATTAAAAAAAAAAGTAATGACAACATGAATTCCACATTATCCAGTTTCCAGTTGCATTTAATTGAGCCTCCAACAAGATGGGGAATTACGTTGCCATGTTAGTTTGTTTTTTGTTTGTAGCTTTCCGTTACTAACCTCTGTCGTAGCTAGCGTTAGCTAACAACTTGACACACAATGAACAAACGAATGTTACAGCATGATTCACAGACTGAAAAGCATGAACTGTGCTAATTAATACTGATATATATATATACTCTTTATTTTTCCATAACGTGCACTTATTATAGCAGTTTTTGGTCACATGACTCTGAAGGACAACGCGCTGTGGATTAGCTAGACAAGCAGACTAGTGCTTTATGTCCCTCTCTGCCATTATTGTTTTTCAAAATGGCAGATCGCCATGGAAACCTCCGTCCTGTGTATATACAGATTCGAGATCCTTCGCTTATGAGGAAAAGTTAGATCATTGAATAGGTCATTTTACAACAAATGAGGACACATTTATAAATAAAGACAATGACTTTAGCTAATAAAATACTTAAAATACTACACAATGTCCTTTTTAAAATGCTCTCTGTTCTCACAGGTTTCTGACACCACAGCTTCACTTACCAGACATTTTCACACAGTCATTCACGCATTCCCTATCCCCCCCCCCCCCCCCCTGCTGTACCCCCCCCCCCCCCCCTTCTGCTCGCTCTTTTTCACTCCCCCTTTCTCTTTACTCTTTCTTTTGTGTAAGTGAAGCCGGGGCCTCCGAGTGACATGAGCCCTGCTCCTGTAAAACTAATAATGACGGAGATTTGTGCAGGCTTAGCATTCTTTCCCCCCCCCATTTCAGAGCAAGACACTGGGAGTGAAGAAAGAGGAGGGGATTGGAGGGGGGGGGGGGGGGGGGGGGGGCATCTCGAGGTAAGCTGGGGGGACATGTCCTACTTTGAGAGGAAGTAACTTGGGAGATATGTGAGAAGGGAAGGCCAGTGAAGCACAAGATGGAGAAAGACACAGAGAGGCCCCTCTCCCTGGGCAGAGCGCATGCCTTCATTTTGCATGGGTCAGTGCAGCTCAGATCTCTCTGCAGCCCCCCCGAACACGCTACACAAACATATATATACGTCCGAACGCACACACAAAAACCCCTTCTTTTGAAATGTTGCGTTGTCGCCCTCGTTGAGAATCGAATTCTTGTTTAAAGCTGTTTTTTTCAGGCTTTTAAAGCTGTTTTGTTAGGCTGCAGTTGCTGCTTAGTTATCATGCTGACCATCACATACAGTTAGCTAAAACAGTCCCAGAGGCAGTGGAATCTAGTTTCTAATCTTGCATTTTGGGAAGTTTGGAGAAGCTCTTGTTGTATATTTACTGTGGAACCTCCACTTCCGATTGCCTAAACTTATGAATTTTCCAACATCCGAAGTGAACTTCGATCAAAATTCGACCAAAGTAAATTTCCAACAAACTTCGAAATTTGCTATGTGTAATTATACGAATTACAGAGTATTCTTATTTGAACCAACATACGAATATTTTAACATACGAAGTCGGTCCTGGGAGAAAGTAAATTCGTATCTAGAGGTTCTACTGTATGGAAAATCGAATTCTGAACAAGCAGCTTTAAAAAAAGAAAGCAAACTGGGAAACCACAGTGTGCGTTGGACGGTTAATAGTTAAAGCGGAGTGCGTTCTGACTCCACGCTGGCAGAGGAATGCAGGAAAGCGTTTTTCCCTCCGACAGAACAGAGAAGTCTGAACCGCGTCCCGACTGCTGGTCGACACACGTCTGACAAATTTGCACAAAGATCAGCAGATGTGCTTGGAGATGTGAGGAGGGGGCAAAGGGGAGGTCTCCCTCACACTGGCCTCTAACACTCCCCCCTCCTCCTCCTCCCTCCCGGAGACATGTGCTCCCTCTGTGCCAGCAGACGGCTTCAGCTCGCAGCAACTGATGCACAGACAGCTGCTGCTTCTCCCTCTTTCTCCCTCTTCACTCACATCTTTTCTCTACTTTCCCCTTTCCTCTCCTTTCCTCGGCTCTTTTTTCCCAGCCGGATATAAAGGCAGGTCCGTTCGGAGGGAGAGGGCTTGTGTAATCTGCACACGAGCGGCGGGGAGGCAGGGCTCCACACACACCTCGAGCCAAAAGTCCTGGAAAAAGAGAAGCGGGAACACCTCTAAGACAAGAGAGGAGAGGAAGACTTTTCAGAGCGAAAGACTGGAGAGAAGGTGGAGTTTGCAGACCATGCCGGGCTGCTGGGTGCTGCTCGTGTCCCTGTTGGTCCTGTCTACAGGAAGTGCCTCCAGAAGAATGAGAAAAAGAGCTCTCAATCATAAGGTGAGTCCACTAATCTCCCGTCTGACTGCATATGCACAAACATCCTCCGAGTTTGTGTCCTCCAAAGGGGAAGTAGCTGAAAGTTCCCAGAACTACGGGACAGTTGTGGCTCTGTTACATAGAGCTGCTCCACACATCAGGCTGGTTCTGTTGCCGAGGTGAGAGGTGGTCAGGTTGACCAGAGGCCTGAGCTGAAAATAAATTATAAAGACTTTCTCATGTCTGCTACACGGTTAGCGGGAGAGTACATGTCTTGGGGTTCTTGCAGAGAGTAGCATATCATCTTTATGAATGGAAATAACAGTATGAGAACAAAATTCATGCACAAGCAGCTCAAAATCTCAAACATGAACCTAGTATGTTGCAACTTGGTCTTTGATTTATATTTAAAAAAAACGAAGAGAAAAAATAAGGAGTTGTGAGTCTTACATGACTTCCTATTTCTGGGCAAAGAGAAGTAACTTCTAGCTTATGTTGTTCTTTCCTGCTTTTTCCATCTAACTGGTCCTATCAAAAAAGCAGGATTTTGAAGGAACTTCTTCTACCTGTTTTTCCCTTGGTCTATATGAAATAGTATAATCTTATATAATCTAAAGAGATTATAGCTAATGTATATAGTTTTGTGACTAATTGCCATTGCATGCCACACAGGGACTTTTCCATTTGTTAATTTTAATGTCATTAGGCTGTTAAATGTTCAAAGCTTTAGATATGAGAATGGATAGAGATGGTACTTTACGGCTTTATTATGTTAATCATCAGTCAGATCTGTCAGTTATTCATTCTCTAAATTGAAAAATCAAACCAAAACAAATGGCTCAGTTCAACGGTCCTTCTGTTTTAATGGCACATTGAAAACGTCCCAGTGAGCAAAACATTGTTAGCTGAGAATCCTCTCAAAAATCAATATGATTCTTGGGGATATTTTGCTGTGTAATTATCTTGGAAGCTACGACAGACTCGCATGAGCTGTTCCCCCTGAAAAAAGAGCGAGTTTGGCAGCAGAAATGCTTTGATTCCCAACCATGAAAAATGCACACACGTGTTTTCCAGGATCAGAAAGTGGCGTGTGCAGCAGGTCGGAATAAGTCACTAATTTTCCAGTTTCCATATGAGTAAATAAAGGGCATGCGGGACGTTGGGCCTTTTGTGGGTGTGTGTGTGTGTGTGTGTGTGTGCATGGAGGATTATTGGGGCAGGAACTGGACTTGCAGACCAGGCCCCTGCTTGTTAGCTCAGCTTAGTGTTGCTGATTGATCATCGCTAACAAGGGCTCAGTGTAGCGTGCTGTCTCTTTCTTGTTCTCTCTGCGACCTTTCATGACTCAATGTTCTCACTTACTGACTTGTTTATGCCTCCAGTGGCCTTTTCTGTTCCTCGTCCTGGCTTCCTCTCCCATTTATATTCGTTACCCTCCGCTCTCTCCCTTTCCCGTTCGCTCGCATGAGCCTCTCTTTGTTAAACACCCTGCAATTTTGCTCTTTCAAATGTCTTAATCCTGTCTCCTCCTGCTCCCGGGATGGGCCAAAAGCGCTATCTGGCTGGGCCCGGCTTCAAAGCGGCTGTAATTGGAACATGCTGAGACGGCTCAGGAGACTGACTTTGCCTTGTTGCCCCGAAAATCTGTTTTGTTTTGTTTTTTATTCCCACACCCTTTGCTCTCATTCGTAACAGCAGGGCTGTGCAGAAAGACAAATTACAGTCACTTAATGGTGCGTCTTGAAAGGAAAATTGGTAAATCCAACAAACCGAAGACCACCAACACTCTCCGCACTGCTTTGGTTCACTTTTAATATCGTTCCCTTGTGCCAAAGGACAAAATGTGAGCAACATTTGTTTATTTGAACCCTGCAAAGTTCAAATATGTTAGAAATATCTTTTTGGCCAAAAAAGAGCTCATTTTCTGCGGGAAAATCTATCAAATACAAGCGTTGATGTGTGAAGTGTTGATGTGATGTTGCTTCAACTTTCAAACTTTACTTGCCAAATTCTCTTTGGCCAAAGTCAGACGCACTATTCACTGATCTGATGTAGATCTGTCAGGAGAAAACCGAGAGTGGGAAATTCCTGGAGCTAAGCAAACAGAAATCCAGTCATTAAAAAACTGCAGTCACTGCAAATGCTCCTTTTTTCTTTTCTCCTTTGGACGATGGACCAAAGTCGGGATACGTTTCACAATAATTATGTTTCATGAGACATTAATTCAACACGTTTGAATGAGCTTTGAGACTGCAAGACGTTTTAGGCCTGAAACTCTTTCTTTTTCTTTCCTTTCAGTGTTACCCTAACTTTATTTCTTCTGCCAGTTACAAGTTACAAAAAATGATCAGGGGTTGATTGAAAAATCTGTGAAAGAAGCCAGCAAACAAGACTTTAACTCATCGTATAATTTAGATAAACAGCTCAAACTTCTCAGTCCACACATTGTAACGTTTCTATGTAGTCCTCAAGATTCTCAGAGTCCAGGCTGAGGTCACAGCCTCATAAAGCCTGACTGTTTAGTCTCATTACTGCCTGGGAATGTTAGTGCAAGGCGTCTGATGCTGGGACCATAACCCTAACCCTAACCCTAATCCAAGCATGTTGCACATCCATCTTATTAGGTTAAATTCAAATTAAAGTAATGAGTAAATTGATTAGAAATAATAATAATAAAATAATATTATGGCGGTTGTGTTATTTTGTGTTGTCAACATGTTTGTGTGTGAATGCGCCTACAGTGCGTAATGTGTCTATACGGTTATAGTGAGGGGTCAAAAGTCACTTGTTACTTTGGGGGTCGTGGGCTGAAAGTTTTGAAACCCCTGACTTATGTGATGTGGTCATTACTGTGTGACCCCATTTGTTATGGAGGTCTGCGGACAGCCTGCTATTTGACTTGGCTCTTAACAAAACAGAGGTGCACTGTGTATGTGCTGAGGAAAATATTTGAGCTTTTACCAAATAGATATTATCATTCAAGGAAGCAGTGACTCTCTGGATTCTTACTTTCCGGAGGATCCCAGTTGGGACTTTATGGGTGTGGCAAAAACTCATTTTTAATTCCTCGTATTTTTCATGTGCATCTCAGGTTTGAGTGGATTATTGGTTCAGAAATGGGAGTGAACATGCAACTCAATATGAGCGACTAAGTCACTCAGACCTGGCCAGACAAAAATGTGGTTTTCCACATTCCTTTTTACACACCTTCCTTTCTTTGTGGTCATTTTCTTCCCTTTTTTTGCCTATAAAAGTCGAAGCTGCATGTTAGGAATTCTTTGTACTGGCCTAGAGACAGAAATTAATATACATCATTATGTTTGCATGTTAAAAAAAATAACTGAATGGGGTTAAAAAACTACACATTTATTAATAATCTCAGATTAAGCCAGTTTGGTTTCTGGTATAACCGGGCCTTAGATCTTCAGTTTTTCATGACTTGAGTGAAGTTCCCTTAGACTATTTTTCCCCATAATATTTCCAAATGGCAGGCATGTGGGACAAATTGGAAAAAAGATTGGGGTTAGTGCAGTTGGTCATCCAGTAAACAGGCAGCTATGTGGTGGTTTCTCTGCAGCTCTGAGCAGAACTAATCCCATTCAGATGTTGGGAGTCGGTCAGTGGCACATTACCCGACTTAACAATAGGGCCAATCACCACTCAGCACCACAGGTTTACATGCACGAACCAAAATCCCTTCCAGAGCAACTCCTGGTTCTCACATGGGTACTCATGCTTCAACTTTGGCTAAAACAGGGGGAAGGATGCATTTTCCCTTTTTATTAAAGCCCTTTTACCTCTTTTGTTTCCCCTTTGTCGATGTCTTCTTTCGGTTGAACTCAAAGGGTAGTGTATCAGTGCTGATAACCCAAAAACTAACCAGAAGCCCTCAGTAGTTCCCCTTTCTGAGAGACTTAAGCTGACACCATTGAAAAAGAACAGGTTCTTCTTGTGAATGGGCCTGTTCCTGGCTCGGGATGAACACATTTTTCGTGTCCGTCTGGGATCTCAGCACCGTAATCTTGGGATCTTAGTACCATAAACGTTCCAATCTCAGTTCAGTTATGCGGCCAGACAGGGTCTCCAGTGGCATCTCTCCACAGACCGAAGAGTAAAGGCACAGAAAAGAAAGACAAAGTAGTATATTAGTTAGTATAGTGGTGAGATTCCCAGACGGGAAGATACACATGTATATACAGTAGAACATAGGAATTTAATTTGTTCTGGGACCTACTTGGGACGTTAATCTATTCATAAATTGGTTCAAATATTCCCATAAGAATACACTGTAATTTGTATAAATCCTTCCACAGCCCCGCATAGCAATAAAATAAATGCATTATATAAGAAAGATGTAAAAAGTATAAAGAAATAATCAATAAAAAAGGGGGTTTTATTGGAATTTTACCTCAGAGGCTGTTGAACAGAGGTAGAGGTGGATGTACGCTAATTTACTCTCATTTACTTTCACTACCTGATCTTTAAACTAACTTGGCTTATTTATTTTTATTTCATTTGTATATTTAATGTTTTTTCTATGACTTCAGTGTCATACGTATGTTGAAAATTTACTTTGGATGTCAAGTCAAATATTTGATCGAATTTCACTCTGCTGTATTCTGCTTTGTAAGTCGCTTTGGATGAAAGCCTCTGCTAAATGCGTACACATAAACACGAATGAGAAGAAGCCTCAGCCAGCATTCCACAACAATGGTGGAGTAAAGAAAGGGAGGAAAAATCGACGAGGACAGATAAAACATTACCAACAGGGGAAGAAAATGTACCAGCAGAAAGACATGAACATCACATACTGGCCCGCTGGCAGCGCAGCTACTGAAGGGAAGCAGACTGGAGGATAAATAAACAATGTGAACATCAGAGAGATGTGAGGAAGATTAGAGTACAGCGGCCTGTCTGGCATGCCGGAGCATGAGAGCAACGGAAAAGATGAGCCCAGACACTAAAGCAGTTAAAGGCTGAGATCCAGACTAGTGCTGCCAGATTCGATGAATTGCGATTATGGTAGACTATATTACGATCACGATGATATAATTGAATGGTGTCGTGAGTCTTGAACATAAAGGACAACACAGACAATTACAATAATTTTGTGTATTTTTCAACTGAAAACATACAAACATGACACAAAGAAATACAAAACCTGAACTTAACAGAACTGTATTAAAGGTGGGTAGTCAGGTGACCACTGGGGTAGGCTTCAGTTCTCCCCGTGGCCCCGTTAGGGAATAAGTTGTAATGTTAACGGATGGATGGACAGTCAGGTGACCATACCTGCAGCTGCACGGGGAGGCGTCACCCTGCTCCACACGTTCATTGTGCTGATATGCCTCCATTTTCATGTAGGCGATGTTCAGTGTCTGTATTTTTCAAAATGTTAGATAAAGAATTTCTTTCTTTCTTTGAGAATGTCAAAATTGGAAATCGCAGTCTTTTATGCGATTACATAATTACACAGCATGATATCGCAATTGCAATTCGATTAATCGTGAAGCACTAATACAGACATAAAGAAGATCAGTGAAGGAAATGGGATCTGTTTAGTCATGTGTACAAATATATCCAACGCGACTTACAAAGTAGCGAATATACACGTGTATCTCCCCATCGGGATTCAAACCCCCGGTCAGAGATTCCCCCATCGGGAACCCCGGTCTCCCATGTGACAGGCGGGGATACTCACCACTGTACTATCCCCCACCCCCCCAAATAAGGTTGCATTATACCCACAGACACTCACAGAAACAGGAACAGGAACAGGAAGGGCACACCATTTACTCTGGTAAAGCTTGCAGAGATAACAGTGGTCTTTACATAATTATCGTGATAGTACTACTCATGCATAGATTTAACCACAGCAGGAAACCTGCTGAGGGATAATGGGGGTTCAAATCAGTGCCTGTGACGCTTCACGAGTCTTCACTGAGTTTATCACCGTTAAAATGATTGATTGGTTAAAGTTTTACCATCCATTCATCTCAACCATGTTCCTTGTCTGTGTAATTGGTTTTAACTGTCCTAACGCTCCTTAAACATTGAGTAAGGCGAAGCTAAAGCAGCCTCTGCTCCTGAGGGCCGGGACGTTGGCAAATGAACACATAAAGTTCATGTAAAGTTTGGATAACTCCCTGAAATCATCAAAACAAGTAGCAACCTCAATAATCATCCACACGTCTTATACATCTGCGCCTGCTGCTCTGAACAGGAAGAGTGGCCTGAAAAGAATCTGGGAGGCATTAACACGAATCCACTCAGATTTGTGTGCCAGTAAATCTGCTGTAGAGAAACAACAAGTCTAATCAGAGTGTGTCCTGGATTTCCAAACTTCCAAGCCAATCTTTAGACACCCACATAGCAGAGAAAACTATTTTGGAGCTCGGACCGAGCTTGGACAGAGAACAGCCTGTTCAACTTTCATCTTGGAGACCACATCCAGCTGCTGGGGACTTTCTCCAGGATGGGAAGTGAGGTTATTCATGAACCAATTAAAGAGGGGAAGTGACCTTCTATTAAAGCTCATACGGTTACCACAACCCAGATAAGACATTTAGTAATAGTCTTCCATTTCATGGCCACACATGAGTTGACTGATTAGTCAATATTTCAGTTTCATGATTAATCCATGACATCTGTGAGGATCTTTTCTCTGAACAGAACGAAGCTCTTGATCCCCAGGTGCTGATCCTGATAATGGGGTCATTTATTGTTTTCCAAATGTTTCTCGTATGGTTTTATTGAAAGTTTTTTCCCATTGTTTTGTTGCTGCAGGTTCTCTTATTCTGTTCTGTATTAATAAGTTATAGATTTGCTTGGATTTTAAATAATTTATCTATATTACTTTATCATTGTAACTATATAGGTATAACTAAATGTTTGTGGTTTGTGATAAAAATCCCTCTGCTATACTTATAAGTCAACAAAAAGCCCCATATGTAATCTATTTATTAACAAGTGACCTCAAACTCTTATTGCGCCACTTAAACTTCTTACAGTAACATGTGGGCTCTCAAATTAACTTTAACAAGCTGCAACTGAGCCACAAGCTGTTCCCTCCACCGTTCCCTAATAACCATCCACCCACAAAGCTCACAGCTGCCAGGCCCAATTCATGTGTTTAAAGTGAACGCCCAAACATTTTCCTTATTTTCACAGTCCTCCCGGTTTTCACGCCGTCTTTATCTGGTGAGGAAGCAAAGAGTGGAGCTTAAAACACCATTAAGCAACAGGAAAGGACTGGAAAGAGCCGGAAATAAGCTCAGGCTGCCTCGTCTTCCATGAAAGCAAATACAGCATACGATGACTTGGTGTCTATGTGAATCAGTGTAACGTGAATTTGTTTTGTTAATATTATTATTTATTGGCTGTTTTTTCAAATATACACTTTGATTTATCTACTTTGTTTGTTTTTCATATTTTTCTTTTCACTTTTCTAAATAATAAATTAAATATTTATTAAATTGATTTATTTATTTAACGTATTAATTAATTAATATTAATCAATACTAAGAAATTGGATTACCGTTAATATTAGTTTCCATATTATATATTGTTTTGCTTTTATTTTAATCTGATTCAATGGTATTGTTCTTCCAAAATAGAAAATGTCATATTTCCTATTCATATTAGGACATGGGTGATTAGGCATGCAGACCAAAGTCCTGCTTAAGATGGCTCATTCAAAGCTGTTGCTGCCGCCTGGTGGTTAAAATGTATAAAAACTGCATAAAAAACAATGATTAGAGATTCAGGATGCAGACAAAATCCCAATGTTGACTGGAGGCCATGAGCAGAGAAAGAGAGCAAAGCACCAAATCACAACAACAGTTATCTCACAGTAAACAGAGCAGGTCAGACCAGACTCTGAAGTTGTTTACAGAAGCCCAACAGTTCCCACCAAGAGCAAGCACAAAGCGACACAGGGAAGGAAAAACTTCCTTTAGGAGGATATATATTAAAGGATTTTAAGAGGATTATATTCTATATCTGCACTCATGTACATATATCTTGTTTGTTTTTTTCAAATACTAATACTTGATTTTTGTATTTTGTATGTAACTCTACGGAAGTGCAAAACATCTGGAGTCAAATTCCGTGTATGGTCACTTGTTTTTATAGCAGTTTTTTGGGCCCTTTAAAGCTGTTTTTTGCCTGTTTTGTGATTAAAGCTGATTCTGATTCTGAAACACTGATGATCTTTCAACTCAGTAAAGATCTTTTCTCCTTTCAGGACTATGAGTATGCCAACCATCCCCAGTCTACGCAGCACCAGAAGAACGACAGGTGTCCGCCGCCGCCCCAGATGCTGCCGGAGCGAGCCTGCGAGGTCCCGGGCTGCCGCTCAGACTCCGAGTGCGAGCGCCACAAACGCTGCTGCTACAACGGCTGCATCTACGCATGCCTGGAGTCCGTCCAGCCGCCTCCAGGTGGGGAGCCCCAAGGGTCAGATGTTTCTGTTTCTGCATTTTAGACGCTTTTAACCAAAGCGACTTACAAAGTAGACACAATGTTAGTGATGGTAAGTCATTCCACCATCTTAAAGCTGTTTTGGGGGCCTCAAAACTGTTTTGTGGCTTTTAAAGCTGTTTTGTGGCCTTTTAAGCAAGTTTTTAGGGCTTTTAAAGCAGTCTTGGGGCTTTAAAGTGTCATCCATCAGAACAGCAGTAACTGACTTGTTGCCCGTGCTTGTGTGTCTGAGCAGTGCTGGACTGGTTAGTGCAGCCCAAGCCTCGCTGGCTGGGAGGCAACGGCTGGCTGCTGGACGGCCCTGAGGAGGTTCTACAAGGCGAGTAGACACATCTAACCCATTCAGAAGGTCAACATAAGCCAATATATTCTTCAGGACCAAAACTCTCATTTATCAAACTGCATCTTAATCATTACAAGTTAAATTGGTAAATTACTCAAGGATTACTGAGTAATTTTAGTTGAACACTTTTATATTTGAAATTTAGATATTGGAACATTGCATTTTTACATTTTAAACTTCCAATGCTTGATTTTCAAGCACATTTCCCGTGTTATTTGTCATTATTGATGGAGAGGTCCTTACGTTGGGCATCATGCACATCTAAAACATGAGCAAAAAAATGTTAATCTAAATCTTTCAACAGTCAAAAGTCCCAGGGAACATTAAAAAATCTGCATCCGTCCAAATCAGCCACTATGCAAACGTAAAGAGTTTTAATATGCATCAAAACTAAGTTTCATGCATTTCTCATGTCGATAATTGTGATATGATAATATCATACATTAATAAATAATATATTAATGATATATTGATGATAATAACAAACATCATTCCCATCATAATAATTCTCAGTTGGATTGTGGAGCCCAGCCCTGAATCCTGTCAAACACAGTGTTTTCAGGCTTATCTTTATTTCACATATTGTCATGAATTGGGTTTGCGAGCTCACAGGACTTACCTGCTGTGTTTTTGCCATCAGCTGAGGCCTGCAGCACCACTGAGGACGGAGACGAGCCTCTTCACTGTCCCACAGGCTACGAGTGCCACATCATCAACCCAGGAAACCCTGCCGCTGGCGTCCCAAATCGAGGTCAATGCATCAAGCAACGAGGCAACTCTGGTATGGATTTATGTTTTTTTTCCCTCATAAATCATTGAAAGCCCCTACATCTCTGATCTTACTGAACTTGAAGGTTTATCCTCCTTTAATCATCAGTGGGGGGGGGGGGTGCAGGAAACTGGGCTGTGCCAACAGCTGCCTTCAGCCTTGGCGGTTCACATGCTGCCAAGTGCCAAGTTTCTTGTTTTAATCGCATCTAAAAATATACAAACTGAAGTGACCTGGCAACACAATACACTGATGACATATGATTAAAGCGGCTGGCTGAGATAATAAGATAATGATTTAACAGGGGAAACGCCATCTTTGAGTCTGTAGTTCTTGAGTTATTTCACTTTTGAGTCACAATTGAGTCATTTAAGTGGTCATTTGGCTGTGATGTTTTTTTTAATTGTTTCCTAACAGATGGACGTGGTTTGAGACAGAAATATTTTAAAGACTACAAGGACTATTTGGGTATGTTGTCCAACAGGAACATTTTAAAACCTATTATACAGTAGAACCTCTTAATACGAATTTAATTTGTTCCAGGACCTACTTCGTATGTTAAAATATTCGTATATATGTTCAAATATTCCCATCAGAATACACTGTAATTGGTATAATTCGTTCCACAGCCCGAAAACCTAAGAACTCCTTAATAAATACTGCATATAATTACACATAACAACAAAAAAGCATTATATAAGAGAGATGTAAAAATAAATACATTTGAAAAAATAATCAATAGAAAGGTTTTTTTTTGGCACTTATTGGTGAACGCAGGTAGAGATGGACACTGAGATACAGGATTAACTGTAACTTTCTCTAAATTTCACTACATGAACTTTAAACTAACTTTTCTTATTTATTTTTATCACATTTTTATTCTTAATATATTTTTTCCATCACTTCGGCGTATGTTGGAAATTTACTTCGGGTGTCAAATCGAATATTTGATCGAATTTCACTCCGGATGTTGGCAAATGTGGATGTTTAGGCAATCGTAGGTAGAGGTTCTACTGAACTATGAAATTGTGCAGAAATCGAATCTGAAAGTTTTCTTTCTGGCAGGATCCAGTTCTAACAACGCTGTAGGCTATGAAAAACATCATCACAAGCACCTCGGATGAAGCGGCTGGACTCTCAGCTCTGACCCAACGCGACCTCAGACACCAGCCCAGGCCCATTCCACCCTCTCACAGCTGAACCAGGAGCAACTGCTACCTCCTCTTTACCAAGCCCTGTCTTGCAGCCTCGCCTCCAAAACGTGTCCTTTTGAAACAAGTGTTATACTTAAATCCCGGAGCCAAAGAAAAAGAGTGTTTCTTTTAGTCAGATGTCTAAGGAAACAGGGTGGAGGGTGAAACTGGACAAGCAGGTAAAGAGAGAGCAGGAAGTGCACCAAAGTTGTAAATATGACGAACCAGCCCCATTTTTTTTTCGATTCTCTGAAGCTCTTGTCGTCTGTAAGACTCATTTTTGTCCTCACAAAGACGTGTGCTCTAACCTGGTGGCCGGACAGCAGAGAAATAAAGGCCATGCCGGCCTCTTACACACTCTGTGAGGAACTCTGCTGAGAGTCCCTCTGAAATCTGGAAAGAAGAAACCTTCCCTCTGCCGTGCCTGCATGAATCAACTCCAGATGTGATTTAATAACAAAACAAACATCTGTAATTGGCAGAAAACAAACTCTGAGTGTGTGGTTTGTTACACAATTCAAAACAACTATGCTGGAGATGCTGTACGAAAAGTCAAATAAAGCTAAATAGATAAAATAGTTTTTTTTAGAGGTACTTTTCCTTTAAGGGAGAAAGTTGATGAAGACAAGGTAATTACATCTTTAAAAACAAACAAACCTGCACATGTGTAGTGATCGGTACTAAAAAGACTGATTTAGATTGGATTATCTCATTAAAATGCACATGTTCAAACAGGAATTAGTTCAATTCGAACACCATGGTGTGATCACCCAAGTATTTCATGCTTGTGTAACCCGAACAAATCCATTCTGTCCAGTAAAAATGCAGGGATTCAGCAAAGCACTAATCTAAATTGTTCGAAACTGTTCCAGCTCCAGAAATCTTCGATAAACTCAAATAGTGCTCTGTTTTAAATGCTACAGATCTGGACCTATGATAAGCTGAATGTGTGAAAGAAAAGAGATCTGTGCTCTGTGCAGAACTTAAGCTTTGTCTGGATGTTAATCTCTGACTGGTGCTACTTTTGTGCCTTGTGCATCCAAATAAACCTCATAACTGAACAACTTTTGTCTCCCCTTTTGTTCCAAGGCATTTTACATTTGGACATTTCCTGTTCTGAGGTGGTGAAAAATCCAAATCACAGATCGTAAAAGCCATTTACAGTGTTCTCTTAGTAGATGTTTATGAAATTGTGGTAATTAACTGGGGAAATATATTGATAAAAAGCAACAAAAAAAAGTTAAGTGAATCACTTTCTATAAATACATGCCCTGATTTGTGTTTTTTGCATCTGAAACTAAATCTCTTTTTGCTGGAATTTCCCTTAGTTAATTTTCCCTTTTTTATTATTTAGATGTTTCTAATCAGAAGTTGGAGACATTTTTTGAGAGTGCAGCCACTCCCTCTGCTGGGCAAAGACAAATATGTCTGTTTCTCATCAGATTCAAGTAAAGTTTTTGTGCAATCTGACATTTAAAGACAAACAAGAAAAGCACACAATGTGCAACAAGTTAACGAATGTCGCTTAACACGGAGCACAAAACATAAGTATCTATTGAGATATTTAAAAAGTATTGAAGCTTTTCAGCACATCGTCAACTTAAATCCTTTTTATTTGCAGCATCATAACATGTCCCTCCTGTGGGATGCACTCATCCGCACATCTGGATCATTTTGCTATTTGTCCTTAATCTTTTGTCTATTTTGTGTGTAACTTACATTTATCTGTAAAATAAAAACAAAAGAGGAAATTAGACTTAGACTTAGACTTAGACAGTACTTTATTGATCCCTTGGGAAGACTCCCTCAGGAAATTAAGGTTATTAAGGTAATTGTCCATCCATCCATTATTGTAAATCGCTTATTCCCTAATGGGTTCTCAGGGGAACTGGAGCCTATCCCAGTAACCAATGGGGAGAGGTGGGGTCACCCTGGACGATCCCCAGTCCATCGCAGGGCCACACAGAGACACACAAGGACCAACAACCACACACACTCACTCCTAAGGGCAGTTTGGAGTGTCCAATCAACCTAACATGCAGGTTTTTGGACGGTGGGAGGAAGCCAGAGAACCCGGAGAGAACCCACCAGACACAGGAGAACATGCAGACTCCACACAGAAAGGTCCTGGTTCCCCCGGGACTAGAACCCAGAACCGTCTGGCTTTGAGGCCATGGTGCTGACCCCCTTCTGGTTCTCTTGAGTGACAAATCTTCCAGGTATTATATGATATTGATAATGAGATTCTGATTTAAAACCAAAAGTGCTCCAGAGGCCGGTGAGGGCTTCTCTGGGCCACTCTGCAGGTTGCATTACTGCGTGGGAAATGTATATCCCAGGGGGTGTCTTTTCTCCTTTTGTCTCGAGCTCTCCAAGCACTTGCCTGAAAGCTGTGTCAGGGGGAAGAAAGAAGAGCAGGGTCACATTATCAGTGGCCACTAACTGTGAAGCAGGTCATTGTTTGTGGATGGTGGCAACGGCGCATCCCAAAAAGCAGCTCGGCCGCTCTGTTATTCTCAATCTGGAGCTCAAAGGGGGAACTTTTGATCATGACCGTTTTATCACTGTCACTTTGCTGATTGTTTCATCATGAGCGCACCGAGCAAGTCGTCAGAGAAAAGGTCAGTGTGAGATATCTGTGAAGATCCTCGGTCATCTAGGCCCAGGTCAAGCTTTAAAGTTCAGTTCAGGCAGCTGGAAGTGAAGTTTTCTAGAGGACGTTTGGCCTCTGATCCAAGAAGCTAAGTGGAACAAGCAGAAAAACAACCAAAAAGAACTAAGGAGTAGCAAAACAACCAAAAGAAGTGTAAGAAACTGCAAAACATTAAATAAAAACGTAGAGTCAGATTAATATACTGTAGGTGGAACTAAAGAATTAGGGAGAAATTCTAGAAAACTTCACCTCCAGCTGCCTAAACTGAACTTTCAAACACATCAGTGTGACAAACGGACTAGTTAGAAACAGTCCAACGAAATTAGGCTTTGCTCTGTGTTATATTGTCAGCCAATGTGGATTAGGATGAGGATTCAATCACCCAAGTTCAATGCCAGTTTAAAAGAGGAAGCTGTTGTGAAGTGTATTCTATAATAACACCTTTCAAACGTGAGTGATCCCATGCTGTATTTTTAATGTGCCTCTCATTTCTGGCAGGGTGAAGGGCAACTAGAACTAAATTGGTTCTTTGGTGCATCAGTTTTATTTCTGAACCTCTGTTCATCCTTTGTTGGCATGGGTGGAAAATAGTTTCCAAGTACAGTAAAAAGATCGAATGTAATTCATTCCGGGACCTACTTCGTATGTTAAAATATTCGTATGTTGGTTCAAATATTCTCATCAGAATACACTGTAATTCATATAATCCGTTCCACAGCCCCAAAACCCACGATAACTCCTTAATTAATACTGCAGATAATTACACATGGCAATAAAACAAATGCATTATGTAAGAGAGATGTTTTTATTGGCAGGTAGAGACTGAGATCCAGGACGAACCCTAACTTACTCTAACTTTCACTACGTCAACTTTAAACTAACTTAGCTTATTTATTTTTATATCATTTTTTATATTTTATATATTTTTTCTGTAACTTTACTTTGGGTGTCAAATCGAATGTTTGATCGAATTTCACTCTCGGATGTTGGAAAATTCGTATGTTTAGGCAATCAGAAGCAGAGGTTTTACTGTATTTGCAAGTTTGTGTGATTATATTCAACCGTCTTCTTTGATTTGGACAGGAATGGCTACCAAAACAAGCTGGATAAACTATTAAAGGAGAGAAAATGCACATTTCCCATGTTGATCAAGGTATGGAGAGACACTTTTAAAATCTTTTCATTCTACATAGTGTTCTTAAACCTTGCACCGACTTTTTTCTCTTTCTGGCTATTTGCTGAGTGCTTGTGTGAGTTGGCATGTTTTTGTAAAAGTGACAGAAGACCCCCCTCAAGCAACCAAACACCCTGTTTCCATCTCCAGGCCATAAAATAAATGTTATTTGGGTGATTGCACTCAGTAGAAGAGATTTATTAGGGAACATGCTGCTGTGACATATTCCTGGCCAGAGTGAAGGGAAGTGTACTGGTCCCATTTGTTCCCAAAGGCTAAACTAGCCAACCCAGAGGCATCTACAGAGTGTCTGTGGCCCTGCTCTGATATCTAGGTTTACCCAAATGTTTGCTTTTCCTGGAGACATACTGTGAAGATCCTAGGTCATCCAGGTCAAGCTTTAAAGTCCAGTTCAGGCAGCTGGAGGGGAAGTTTTCTAGAAGGCGTTTGGCCTCTGATCCAAGAAGCTTATTCAGTTCCAACTGATGGTGGAGCTCTGAGGTTAATATACTGTATGTGGAACTAAAGAATTAGGGGAAAAACCAAAGGAGGCCACCTGGGGGGGTTAATGGTGGTTAGCAGCTAAACTATCAAAATAAAGTAAAAGAAGCAACAAAAGAAGCAGCAAAATGACCCAAAATGAGTAAAAGAAGCAGTAAAACTATCTTTTTTTATTAATATTTTGATTTTTATCAAATTTTCATGTTTTATTATTTTTTGTCTATGACTTCTACATCATATGTTGGAAATTTACTCCAGGTTTCGAGTCGAATATTCTATCGAAATTTGTACGTTTAGGCAATCGTAAGTAGAAGTTCGACTGTAATTTGCTAACTGTTCCTAAAAGGCAGCTAAAACCTCTGGGTGCCTTTTCTGTTTATGCTGCTTCACTTTGGGACTCAGGGAGGCCCAGACTTTTGGCATTTTTGAAGCTCTTCTGAAGACACAATTTTTTAAACTTGCTTTCTATTGCTGGTGTTTTTAATGATTGTTTTATATCTTTTTCTATGTGTTGCTGTTTTTGTTTTGTTTTTATTACCTCTTGCTCGTCCTATATGTCTGTGGCTTTATGTTCTGTATACAGAGGAGCTGCTTTTACAGGCGCTCTGTAAAATGAAGTTTATTATTATTATCATCACACAGAATTTCACTTTTTTTGGGATTGGATGTCGATAAAAAGCATTTGCGTCATCACAAAGTACAGACGCAAGGAGCGGGTGTCAGCAGATGCTTCACAGCTCTTGCAGATGTGAGATGTGAGATGACTCACTGCTAGAGTCCACATTCCTATATTTAAGCGTTTTCCCACATATAAGTAGAGAGATTCTTCCAACAGATTCATTATCAAGAGAAAACCTTAAATCTAACCAGAATAGAGAATTTTGCTTCTCATGATTACAGTTTTTACCCTAAAATGTGCAATATTAAGAGGGTTTTTTTATATTTGATCCACCCTACAATGTGCTGAATTTACCGTAAAACAAAATATAAAACATTTCCATTTTTTTCCCTAAGATGTATAAAACGTCTGGTTTTCGCCCCACAATGTGCAATGTGCCACCACCCCCTCTGACTCCGTGTCACCCTTCTGTTCAGATGAACCCCGTCCAGATTGGGTTTCTCATCCCAGCTTTGTCCCCTGTTGACACCGGACTCCCCAAATTAAAGCAGGTCATTAGAGGGAAAGCTCATCTCTGAATTACAGGCCGATAACAGAGTCACTGAGCACATGGTTCATGCCGCCTAATTTGACTCATCATCACAGTGTCTCATCACTGAGTTTATGGCTGTTTGCTAGATTTTTTCGGACCGATGTGAGCTGAAATGCGAGTAAAGTCGAACCTCTACTTTCGATTGCCTAAACATAAGAATTTTCCATCATCCAAAGTGAAATTTGATCAAATATTCAATTCGACACACAAAATCATAGAAAAAAATTATATCAAATATAAAAATTAAATAATTGTCGCATTGGTGTGTGTAATTACCTGCACTACTGCAGTATTTAACATAAGAAGTAGGTCCTGGAACTAATTAAATTCATATGTAGAGGTTCTACTGTACGTCCAACCGACTCTCTCTGTGCCTCTTTGTGCTTGGGTGTGTGAGCCTCCGTGTGTCCCGCTCAGCTGGAATCGTGACCATTTCTATGCGTGCTGTAAGGCATTTTATGTGGCCCCAAACAAATGCCGGCGGCTTGCTGTGAGAGCTGTCACACGGCTGACGCTTGTCAACAT